CGAGAAGGAGGGATGGATGGTGAAAGGGATGATCGCTCTGGATGATCTGTGCGTTGACATCACACCCGTATGTTGGAAGCGTCTCTAGAAACGTTGAAGCCACTACATTATGATGTAATGTTTGTGTGCATGCAGGCTGAACGTCCTCGTCCTCGGAGGAGACTCTGGCTTCGTGGAGCTGTTTGCGTACGGGATGTACAAGATCGCCACTCTGACCGGGGTAACAGGCGTTCACCAAAAACATTTGAAAGAGTTGAATTGTCTCCTGTTTTGAAGGCTGAGTTTAAACTGGTCATGGTCTTCAAGATTTTAAAAGTTCTTTGTCCAAATGTCTGACTGTCCTCAGGTGTCAGGAAGCTGCCGCAGCCTCAGTCTCTCTGGAGACCTGAAGTCTCTCTCCGTCATCACAGAGGTCAAATCTGCTGACAACCAGCTTCAGATCTGCTACCTGCAGGTCAGCACGACTCCTTATACCTCCTTCATCTCCTCCTGTCTCCGATTATCACCTCCTCATCTTGTCTCCTCTGTCCTCCTCTCTCCTCTCTCTGATATAACCTCCTCCTGTCTCCTCTGTCCTCCCACAGTTGGACACTTGTCTCCTCTCCTCCTCTCTGATATTAACCTCCTGTCTCCTCCCACAGTTGGACACTTGTCTCCTCTCCTCCTGCCTCCTCTCTCCTCTCTCTGATATTAACCTCCTCCTGTCTCCTCCCTCCCACAGTTGGACACTTGTCTCCTCTCCTCCTGCCTCCTCTCTCCTCACTGATATCAACCTCCTGTCTCCTCCCTCCTCCCTCCCACAGTTGGACACTTGTCTCCTCTCCTCCTCTCTGATATTAACCTCCTGTCTCCTCCTTCCCACAGTTGGACACTTGTCTCCTATCCTTCTGCCTCCTCTCTCCTCTCTCTGATATTAACCTCCTCCCTCCTCCCTCCCACAGTTGGACACTTGCCTCCTCTCCTCCTCTCTGATATTAACCTCCTCCTGTCTCCTCCCTCCCACAGTTGGACACTTGTCTCCTCTCCTCCTGCCTCCTCTCTCCTCACTGATATTAACCTCCTGTCTCCTCCCTCCTCCCTCCCACAGTTGGACACTTGTCTCCTCTCCTCCTCTCTGATATTAACCTCCTGTCTCCTCCTTCCCACAGTTGGACACTTGTCTCCTATCCTTCTGCCTCCTCTCTCCTCTCTCTGATATTAACCTCCTCCCTCCTCCCTCCCACAGTTGGACACTTGCCTCCTCTCCTCCTCTCTGATATTAACCTCCTCCTGTCTCCTCCCTCCCACAGTTGGACACTTGTCTCCTCTCCTCCTGCCTCCTCTCTCCTCACTGATATTAACCTCCTGTCTCCTCCCTCCTCCCTCCCACAGTTGGACACTTGTCTCCTCTCCTCCTCTCTGATATTAACCTCCTGTCTCCTCCTTCCCACAGTTGGACACTTGTCTCCTATCCTTCTGCCTCCTCTCTCCTCTCTCTGATATTAACCTCCTCCCTCCTCCCTCCCACAGTTGGACACTTGCCTCCTCTCCTCCTCTCTGATATTAACCTCCTGTCTCCTCCTTCCCACAGTTGGACACTTGTCTCCTATCCTTCTGCCTCCTCTCTCCTCTCTCTGATATTAACCTCCTCCTGTCTCCTCCCTCCCACAGTTGGACACTTGTCTCCTCTCCTCCTGCCTCCTCTCTCCTCACTGATATTAACCTCCTGTCTCCTCCCTCCTCCCTCCCACAGTTGGACACTTGTCTCCTCTCCTCCTCTCTGATATTAACCTCCTGTCTCCTCCCTCCCACAGTTGGACACTTGTCTCCTCTCCTCCTCTCTGATATTAACCTCCTGTCTCCTCCCTCCCACAGTTGGACACTTGCCTCCTCTCCTCCTGCCTCCCGGAGGTGACCCGGATGTCTCGTAAGTTCACCCACATCTCGACTCTCCTTCAGTACCTGCACCTGTCCCTCACCTGTATGTGTGAGGCCTGGGAGGACATCCTGCTGCAGATGGACCTGCGGCTCACCAAGTTCGTCCAGGTCAGAGACACGCATTCAGTCACTGATGAAAACGTGTTTGTCTCCATGATCATATCAACATGCAATCGTGTTAAATGTAGTTTGTTGCGGCTGTAGTAATCCAAACAAAGTGCAGCGAGGAACTAAACAAGAGAAAAACATTGTCTGACGCTCAAGAAAACAGTCTTTCCACTGATATGCGTTTGACCTTTTATTAGCAAACGAAACAAGCAATCATACAATAGTTTCTAGTCCATCTCCAGTATGTGATTGCGTATTCGTACGCGGTCAACAAAGATTGTCCTTCCCCAGCTCACTCCCCCTCCATCTATGACAAAGTGCGCAGGCAGGTAAGAGCAACCGGATAGAGAGCCGAAGTCCCTCCCTTTCCGGGGGACCTCCATGGGACCTTATTTCGGAAAAAATATGTATTGAAGTCAATGGAGAGAGAAAGATTATTTTTTTTTCATTTGAATTGTGCCACAAATTACACATATGATGTTTGTCAATTTAAAAGATAATTTTACAAGTAAAATAAATTAAAATGTGTCGTAAAACTGTGAAGTAACACTTTTTTTTTGTGTGAAAGCGCTCAATGAACTCCATCTCCCGTCTCACACCACACACCCAGACGGCCGTCACGTTGGCACATTTCACTTCTTTCTTTCAGAATGAGGCGGAAAGTATTAAAAGAGGTGAAAATCACTCCAAGTCTGGGCATGTTGAGAGCTGTACATACACACAAGAGGAGTTAGTCGGTTCCTAAGAGCCAGCATGCGGGACCGGGACTCTGGGATTTGTAGTCTTTCTAGTTGCGTATTTTTCATAGTCTTATATTTCAACAGTTTTACGACAAACTGTGACTTTTTTGACATGGAAATTATTTTTTAAGATTGACAAACATCATATGTGTAATTTGTGGCACAATTCAAACGGGATCGAGAGATAATCTTTCTCTCTCCATTGACTTCAATACATACTTTTTCCGAAATAAGGTCCCATGAGTCGGAAGTAGATGGGCGTGACTTCGCCTCTCAATATAACCGCAAACATCACCACACAAATCCAATAGACACGCCCACCACCTATAGTGACTCAAAGAATGTGACGTAACAAACACAGAAAATGCTCTACGTGTGGCTCCTATAGTTCAACAGGTTGTACCGTTACCTTCCTCTACGTGTCAGTCCTGATACTGCGTTACTCTAATGTATAAACGATCTGTGGGTCAGGGTAGTGGATTATCTTTGAATGTACGGCGCTGCTTCATCCGGGTGGCTCTTCTCTAACGACCAGCGAGACTCCTTTCAAAGCATTGACCTGAGTCTTTTTGTAAGGTAATAAGATAAATATGTCTTGACATCTTAACATGTTCGGAATGAAACTACGAAGTCAAAACAAAGACTATCATTGTGTTAAAATGTCTAAGCATTTTTGTCCTAAGACTACATCTAAAGTATCTGGCACTATAACACATATTAACAAGTTTACGTTGTCTGAGTTTGCTAAAATAATCAAATCTTCTTTCTGTTTGCAGGAGAAGAACACGAGCACTCAGGTTCAGGACGAGTTCCTGGAGCTGCTGCTGTGGGGACAATCAAGGTGAAGAAAGGTTTCTATTGGTAACGTTTGTTGTTGCTTATTTATCTGTAGGAAAGATGTCATGTTATTGATTGTGTCTCTGCTCCCTCAGCCCTGAGCTCCAGGCTCTGCTGATGAACCAGCTGACGGTGAAGGTGAGATTAATGAGTGTTTCAACTTGATTAATAAGCAGGACAGATGATATTACTAACTGGAAACCTCTCTGATGTTTGTCTGTGTTTCCTCTCAGGGTCTGAAGAAGCTGGGTCAGTCCATCGAGTCGTCGTACTCCAGCATCCAGAAGCTGGTGATCAGCCACCTGCAGAGGTACCTGCACGTTAACCCCTTGATATCTCACCTTTTACCCTTTTGGGGGTGCCAGCCAAGCCCCTCATTTTCTCCTCTTTGCATCTAGAAAAATATGGTTTATTCTTCTTAAGAAATGGCGACACATCATCCCCTGTTTTAATGACCATGATCATTAGTTATAGCAAAGGTTTATTTATAATATCTCACCTTTAAGTATGCTCTGATGCCAAGTTGTGCTTTTAATGGATTCCAAAGGACACACACTTTATTGTTAAACACACATTGTAGACCTGATGTGTTATACCCCCCCCCCCCCCCCCTGCAGTGGCTCTGAGGCTCTGCTGTACCACCTGAGTGAGGTGAGGGGCATGTCTCTGTGGAAGCAGAAGTTCGAGCCCCTCGGTCTGGACGCTGCAGCGCTAGAAGGTACGAACACTCCTCTGTTCATTCACTAATCCATGTTTAATCCTAATCTAAAGCCATGTGTCTCCCAGAGATACAAAACACGTATTTGAGTTGTTTTCTCAATTATTTATCAACTTTAATCTCATAGAGTTGTGTTTTTCTTGCATATTTGTGATTTCTTTTGAATAGTTTTTTTCTTAATTTGGGATTTTTTTGTGCAAATGTCCATTTTTCTCTGATAAGTATTTTTTTCCTCGTAATGTCATTTCCAGAAAAGTACTGTTTTATAAATGTAGACTTTTTTTTCTCCCTGTAAATGTTTGACTTTAATCTATTTTTTTTCTTGCAAATGTAATATTTTAAATCTCAGATAATATTAAACTTTTTTCTCCAAAATGTGGGATTTTTTTCTTTTCAATATTTAACAATTTTACGAAAACATTTTATTTTTTAAATGTTAAACTTTATAATATCAGAGACAATTGCATTTCTTTCCTACAACATTTGAGATTTTTTTCTAACGTATCCATAACTTTAAAATGTGAATTTTCAATATTTATTTCCTAATTTTGGATTTTTTATCCTGGAAATGTGTTTTTTCTAGAATTTTTTATTTTTTTTAAACACCACATGTGTTTCTGTTCTCAGGTGCGATCACAGCTGTTGGCTCATTTTCTCTGAAAGCAAACGAACTCCTGCAGTGAGTTCATCCATTACTGTTCTTATTGCCCGTCTTCTCAAACCATAAGCATGTTATATTAGACGTTAATATCATCTCTGCCTTTACTCCAACTTTCAGGGTGATAGACAAGAGCATGAAGAACTTTAAAGCCTTTTTCCGCTGGTTGTACGTAGGTAAGAATAAAAGTGACCGTCGTGCACGAGTTCTCGATCCTGATATACAGACATGAATTATTCAAAATAAGGTTGTATTGATTGTTTCTGCAGCCATGCTGAGGATGTGTGAGGAGCACGTTCCTCCAGAGCTCAACAAGGTGAGTCCTCAGAGCCGCTGAGACACACATGGGTTTCAATAAATCATTCTAACATGTTTTATTCCTCGTAGATGACCCAGAAGGACATTGCCTTCGTGGCTGACTTCCTGTCGGAGCACTTCAGTGAGGTGAGCTCAGCATGACGTCACCGTGATGGAAATTAAAACATCTTTACTAAGTGATTTTAACTTGTCTCTGCTTCAACAGAACGAAGAGCTGTTTGATCGCAAAGGGAAATACTTTAACGTGGAGCGAGTGGGCCAGGTAGGAGTTCTGTGTGTGTTGATGAGCTTTAAAGGTCTCCTATCATGCACAATGCACTTTCTGATGTCTTCTCTACATCACCACGTGTCCCCGGTGTGTGTCCCCGGTGTGTCCCCGGTGTGTCCCCGGTGTGTCCCCGGAGTGTCCCCGGAGTGTCCCCGGTGTGTCCCCGGTGTGTCAGGAGACTCTCAAAGTGTCAGGAAATAAACCCCTCTCTCTTTTCCTCCGTACCCACATCTCTAAAAACGGGGGAACAACGGAGCTGATCCAGATTTGCTGCGTCATGACGACGTTACTAAAATGTGGGCGGGCTTTACACCCACGGGCCAATCAGAAACGTTGCTGTCGGAAACAATGAGACGTGTTCTGGAAGTAATATGGTCTGTGTTTACATTAGCATGCTAACACTCAGAGCTAACCTGTACTGGAGAGAGCATGTGTGAAGAAGCAGGAAATCAAAAGGAAGTCACCTTGTGGTAAACCTGAGAGAGAGAAAGAGTTTGAGCTCCATACTGTTTCAGAGAGAATCCTTGATGTGGTTTGGAACATGATATGGAGTTTCATCACGGCAGCTACTGACCCAGAATCAGCTCTTTAGTAACAGCTGGAAGAGAGGGGTTTGAGGCGAGAATGATCTGTTTGGTGTTTGGAGCAGAACACTTCAGAGACATGTTTTGTATATTTCTGAGACCTATAATATATTCCTAAAAACAGTATAATAGGAGCCCTTAGAGCTGCTGTGTGACAACACGTCTCTCCCTGTGCAGTATCTGAAGGACGAGGACGAGGATCTGGTTTCCCCCCCCAACACCAAGGGGAACCAATGGCTGAGGTTCCTGCAGGAGAGCGCCCACCTGAAGGGTGAGACCCACTCAGCTCTAGAAGTTATTCATTAGCAGCATTATCACTTAGTGTGTTGGAACGAGGGGAACAGGGTGGGATTCGGGGATAAAACCACTGGATCTGACAGTTTGAGATCTGGGGGGTTCCAGCAAAGCCCCTCATGTGCTCCTCGATGCATCCAGAAAAATATACTTTATTCTTCTTAAGAGGTGTTGACACATCGTGCTCTGTTTTAATGACTTGTTGTTTTCTCATTTGTTGCTATGCAATATCTTCGATCAATTTACTCCTTGACTACATGACCACATGTGCGTAAGCTACCGTCATGCATGCTGCGGTTGGGCTTAATAAAACTGGATGACAATAAGAAAACATTTGATTAAAGAGCGACCTGTGAACCCTGCAGTGTGTTTCATGTTTTTGTTCAAATTCAAGCTATTTCAAATCAATACAAAGCCCATTATCTAACTCCCTAAATGTGTCCTGTTCCTGCAGAGAGCCCCCTGCTGTTCCCCTCGTTCCCTCAGAAGTCTCTTCACTTCGTTAAGAGGATGATGGAGGGCGTCATCGAGCAGTGTCTCCAGAAACCTGCAGTGAGTCTCCTCCTCTTCCTCAGCAGCACTAATACACACGTTAGACTCTTTGTAGGTACAACAATATGTTATATAAGTTCAAGGTTCAAGGTTCAAGGTTCAAGGTTCTTTATTGTCAAACTAACATAGCTACAGAGTAATGATGTCGTTGAAAATCTTAGGTCACAGTATGAGATCAGATTAGAGCTTCTTTATTGATCCCAGGTTGGTAGATGTTTGCGTTGCAGCACATGAAACACAACACAACACAACACAACAAGGCCCATAACTTCACAACACTAGAATGTAAACATCTCAAAATAGAATTAAAGCAGCATTCAACGTAGAACATATACAGTAGACCGTGAAGATAAACAATCTATAAACTCTGACAATACAAATAAATGACAAGGCGAGGGGAGGGGGGGGGGGGGCTGTCAGAGAAAACACGTCAATCAGGAGAAAACACTACATGTGAGAGACAGATTGTGCAACTGTGACGTCTATCAATGTAATTACAATGAGCTGTTTCTGGTTCTGTCAAAGAGATCAACAAAAGAGATAAGGGGGGGGGGGGGGGTCAGTGGTTGAATGCCCATAACTTCACAATACTAGAATTGGTAGGGGGTTAGCAGCAGCAGAGCGGAGGGAGTGTGTCTGGAGGTCAGTCAGGTAGGATGGGGTCATTTGAAACTTGAACCACTTTCCATCACAACACTGCACATGTTTTATTGTATTATTCCAAGTACTTTGCACAAGTATTATATCCAGATTTCATGTAAACAATCGTCTCAATCTTAACGTATAATAGCTTGAATGGTTTGCTTTACCTGTGTTACGTAAGCACCACGTAGTGTACCCTCGTGTGCGTTGCCTGGCAACAAGGAGAGTTTCTGTCCTTTTCTACAATCATACGGGTTTAAAACCTCTTAAGCACGGCGGTCCCCCCATTGGACCCCTCCCACCGGTTTGTTTTCGAGATAATGTCTCAGGGCTTCTTAACATTTATGAAACTATTAATGTGTAGCACCAGATTAACGGGAAGAATCTCAGCTAACTGAAGATATGAACCATTTTTACCAAAACAAAACACAAGTCTCATAAGAAGCGTCTAAATGACCCCTGAGCGAAAAAATTCTAACGCACTGCGGCACACAATTCAAGATAAAGATACCCTTATTACTTATCGTAGCTGCACATACAATATAGCCGATTAAAGCTGAGACTCCACTGATTATTTAGGTATAGTATCATCACTGAGCGATCCGAACTTGCGACAGGGGAAGCAAACACAGACATCACAACACGTACCTTTGCGGAGCTTTTACGGGAGATCGTCTGTAGTTGTCAATTAGGTCAAAAGACGTGTTCAATGGCATTAAAACGAAAAAGAAAATACTACAACTGTTGATCCATAGGTTGATAATGTACCTGTGCCTTTGAAGAAATTATTATTACCAGCTTAGTATTTATATTCCTTTGACCTAACATAGCATTTCTAATCTTTCATACGGACGGATTTGAGACTAGGCACTTCACGGCAGCACTTTGAGGTCCTGTCCCCTCAGAGCAGAGAGCGGTCACTCAGTGCTTTGTATACACATGGACTCGTGCTTTTTGAACATGTTTCCTGTTTCTTGTGTGCAGGAGGTGATTGGCCGGTCTGTCACGCAGGCTGTGTTCCTGCCGCTGTACGCGCTGCCAGAGAGGTGCGTCTCCATGGAGACTATCTCTACATTTAATTAGTTAGAGATTCAAGTTGGATTTATTCCTTTGTTTCTGTTGTTTTTGCAGCTCTGAAAACACACCCCGGCTGTTTGAGCTGCCGTCACTGTACGTAACACACACACACAGACACACACAGACACGCACACACACACACACACACACACGCACACACACACACACACACACACACACACACAGACACACACAAAACACACACACACACACACACACACACACACACACACACACACACACACACGCACACACACACACGCACACACACACACACACACGCACACACACACACGCACACACACACACACTACAACACACGCACACACACCACACACACACACACACACACCACACACAACACACACACAGACACACACACAGACACACACACACACGCACACACACGCACACACACACACACACACAACACACACACACACGCCACCACACACACACCAACCACGCACACACACGCACACACACGCACACACAACGCACACACACACACACACAGACACACACACAGACACACACCACACACACACACACACACACACAGACACACACACACACAGAAACACATACACACAGAAACACACACACACACGCACGCACGCACGCACGCGCACACGCAGAAACACACAGACACACACACACACACACAAACCCCTCTTACACACAGATACTGAGCTTTGACAATCATTCTGGTATTAGAGCTTCCCTGGGATGATAAATGTTGTATTGATGATACATTTATTTAAATCAGGATTGGACACACACACACACAGACACACACAGACACACACACACACACACACACACACACACACACACACACACACACACACAACAGACACACACAGACACACACACACACACACACACACACACACTTCCTCCTGTAGCTCAGAGGTTAGCTCTACTTCCTGTTGTTCTGCAGGTGGAACGATAAGAAGAACAAACTGCATCACGTGGTGTTCTGCATGCCGGAGGGTTCCCCCTGCAAAGTGTTCCTGCTGCGCAGAGGAACCGACCCGCACAGGTGAGGAGGCGTCACTCTGACCTTCATTTAAAGACTCATATCCCACACTGCATTACACTTCCTCTCACCCACCTCCATCACAACACTGCATGTGTGTTATTCTATTATTCCAAGTACTTTGAAAGAGTATTCTGCACGTAGTGTTTTAGTATTTGAACATGACAGAGATTATTCATGTATATCCAACGCGATGAATTCAGCTATCTTGGCTGTTATCTTTTTGGCCTTTTCACTGTTCTGGGGCAGTTTCTCTTTCCTTTTAAAAGTCTCTGAAAGTGTCGGTTGTTTCAGTGCCGTTACCTGAGTGGCCGCTGTGTACTCGTCGTGTTGTTGTTGGTGTTTGTTTCTCAGGTGGCGTATTAGATTGGTCGTGTTGAACGTAGCTCTGTTCTTTCCACCACGCGGAACCTCCGCCTTGCAAACATTGCATCTGGCTGTTACACTGCCTTCGCTTTCAATTTTATAATACTTCCAAACTCCTGACATTTTCTCTGTCCCGAGTCACCAGCTGAACGTAGCCTCTCGTTACACCAGCTGAACGTAGCCTCTCGTTAGCTTACTGCTACTATTAGACACTGCGCCCACTCTGTTGCCAGATTTGAGAGAAATAAGCAACTCTATGAAAACAAGCCCAAAAGAAGCAACACATACATGATGTTGTGTAATTTTAAACCAAAACTAAGGCCTCAGGATGACTTTAAGACGTGAACATGGTCATTTTTGTTTTGTAACATTAAATAAAATAATAAAAATATTTTATAAAAAAAAAAAAAAATCCCGATCCCCGATTTTTTTCTCCCGATTCCGATCTTTTGAAAATCACGTGATCGGCTCCGATCCCCGATCACGTGATCGGATCGGGACATCTCTAATTTGATTTATTGGTTGTTTTTCTTACTCTTTTTTAATCTTCTTTAACTGTGTTTATGTTTGCACCGCGTACACAAAGGCTACTTCCTGGTATGTGTTAACCTGCCAGCCAACCGGATTCTGATTCAGATATATTTCTATTCTATTTTATAGTTTTTTATGTTTATTCTCTTGGCTTTTTAAGTATTTAAATGTAAAAGTATATTACGTTTCTTTTGCACCATGTCTTACAGCTGAAATGTGCTGTATGAACCAACGTGCCGTGCCCACTACTACCCTTTACTTTGCTTTGAGAGGGTCTTTCAATCAAAAAGATTGAAGTAAAGTCAAGAAAATGTGTGTGGGGTAGAAAAAAAGAGGGATTTCAGCCTCTGCAGACCATTGACATGCACACAAACCTACAGCACACTACAGGAGAGGGAGCACCACAGGGAGCAGAATAAGGCCTCTTTAAGATGTTCAATAAATAAAACCAATGTTCTTCCCGTTGAGATGTAGTAGTAAAAGTATAAAGTGGCACAGAGTGAAACTTGTACCTCGTCACAGTCGTTGTTTAAATGTCAACTCCTTTGATGATTTGATTTATTCAATTTCAATATTCTGTTCAAACGGTATATCTTCTTCTGTCTTTGTAAATACAACTTTTTGAGCTTTATTTAAACGACTACACCTATTGTTACGGGCGGACAAAGAGAACCCCGTCACAGTTACAGTGTTTGTTTGTGTGTTCCTAACCCTATGTGTTGTTGTCCCACAGACGCATCCCTCACAGCGTGATCTCCATGGACCTGTCCCGTCCTCTGGAGGCTGAGGGAGACGCTGCAGCTCAGTGAGATCCTCTCTGTGACACACTCGCATATCAAACACACTCACATATCAAACACACTCGCATATCAAACACACTCGCATATCAAACACACTCGCATATCAAACACACTCGCATATCAAACACACTCGCATATCAAACACACTCACATATCAAACACACTCACATATCAAACACACTCGCATATCAAACACACTCACATATCAAACACACTCGCATATCAAACACACTTGCATATCAAACACACTCGCATATCAAACACACTCGCATATCAAACACACTCACATATCAAACACACTCACATATCAAACACACTCACATATCAAACACACTCGCATATCAAACACACTCACATATCAAACACACTCACATATCAAACACACTCACATATCAAACACACTCACATAAAGCTAATCATAATACATGGGATTTCTATAGAGCTTTTCCTAATGCTCAGAGACGCTTTACAGACACATCAGAAACAGTCCTCATCCAAGTGTGAACAAATATCTGAGAGATATCATAACATCACAGTATTGATAGTATTATGATCAAAGGTTGGAAGTAGTGGAGTACAAATACTTTGTGACTGTACTTCAGTACATGTTTCTGGTATCAGTACTTTACTCCACTACTTATTTTTCTGACCACTTTGTACTTTCTACTTCTCACATGTTGAACACAAATACCTGTACTTTCTACTTCTCACATGTTGAACACAAATACCTGTACTTTCTACTTCTTACATGTTGAACACAAATACCTGTACTTTCTACTTCTTACATGTTGAACACAAATACCTGTACTTTCTACTTCTTACATGTTGAACCCAAATACCTGTACTTTCTACTTCTTACATGTTGAACACAAATATCTGTACTTTCTACTTCTTACATGTTGAACCCAAATACCTGTACTTTCTACTTCTTACATGTTGAACCCAAATACCTGTACTTTCTACTTCTTACATGTTGAACACAAATATCTGTACTTTCTACTTCTTACATGTTGAACACAAATACCTGTACTTTCTACTTCTTACATTTTGAACACAAATACCTGTACTTTCTACTTCTTACATGTTGAACTAATACCTGTCTTTTACTTCTACTGTTGAAACCCAAATACCTGTACTTTCTACTTCTTACATGTTGAACCCAAATACCTGTACTTTCTACTTCTTACATGTTGAACCCAAATACCTGTACATTCTACTTCTTACATGTTGAACACAAAATGTGTGTTCAACATGTAAGAAGTAGAAAGTACAGGTACTCTAAAGAAGAGGGACCAATGAAAACGTTGTCATGTTGCCGTTGTTCAGCAGAACAGAAGTTTAGTCAGTACTTCTACTTTCACCAGAGTATTTTTAAACACGAGTATCTGTACTTCTACTTGAGGAAAGGATGTGTGTACTTCTGCCATCTCTGGTTATAAGCAAAGTGTTCCCTGACTCCCTAACAGGTGTGTTGTGTGTCTCTCAGGCCTCACCAGGTGTACAGCTGCATGGACGCTCGTTTCTATGACGACGAGATGCTGACGGTGGTGCTGCAGGCGTCGGAGGAGGAGGGCAGGAGGCGGGTCTTAGCTCAGCTTCCTCTCTCTGCAGCGCTGAGCAACGAGGAGGGGGAGGAGTTCAGCTGGGAGCCCGGACTCAGGTCAGTGTTCAAATGCATGATCGAGGGGGACATGTCATTTTACACACACTTATGTTCAATATCACTTTTTATTATTATTTTCTTTTCTTTTTTTTTTTATCAATATTAGGCCTTTATTTTAAATACATTTATTTATTAATGTGTTGAATTATTGATGATTCTTTTAAAATCATAGATTGTCGTGTCCGTTATTAAGAGGATCCTCTAAACCAGGGGGGTCAAACTCAAGGCCCGGGGGCCAAATCCGGCTCTGAAAGAATATAATATGTTTATTATACGGTTACATGCCGCTTTACAGAAGCACGTTGCCCATAAACTACATGTCCCACAATGCATCTCAAATTTGACTTTTTTCTCAGAATTTGACTTTTTTTCCCCAAAATTTAATTTCTTTTTTTTTCTCTAGACTTCTTTTCAAGAATGTGGCTTTTCTTTTTAAATCATTTTGTGACATTCTCACTGAAGAGACTTGCAATGATTTGCCCTAGACTTCTGCTTTCAGACGTAGTTAATCATGAAGTTATTAGCCTATCAGATAATAATCCAATGCAGAGGCAATGATGTAATATAATACATTATTTTATATACATTAAATATTTATATATGTATATTTATATATTTATATATTCTTAAAGTTACAACCGGCCCTTTAAGTGCAACCATGATGCTGATGTGGCCCGCGACGAAATTGAGTTTGACCCCCCTGATTTACAACACACTTCAGGCTGTTCTCTAAACACAGCAGGGATCAGTTCTAAATGTCCTCCATGTCTCTGTGTGACTTCAGGCTGTTCTCTAAACACAGCAGGGATCAGTTCTAAATGTCCTCCATGTCTCTCTGTGTGACTTCAGGCTGTTCTCTAAACACAGCAGGGATCAGTTCTAAATGTCCTCCATGTCTCTCTGTGTGACTTCAGGCTGTTCTCTAAACACAGCAGGGATCAGTTCTAAATGTCCTCCATGTCTCTCTGTGTGACTTCAGGCTGTTCTCTAAACACAGCAGGGATCAGTTCTAAATGTCCTCCATGTCTCTGTGTGAGTTCAGGCTGGACCAGCAGAGCGGCTCTGTCCCGTGTCAGAGTCTGGTTCTGGGGAACCAGTGGAGGGAGCTGGAGAACATGAAGGCCCAGTTTGTGGCTGTGAACGGCATCAGGAAGGTGGCCTGTGTGGTGGGTACCGTTATACATTCATACATGTGGTTGCTAGGTGGGTTTGCACATACATGGATAATACAACTATCCCAAAGGAAAACATCAAAACCTTTATTTATGTCAACAATATTTTATTTATTTGAAAAAATAAGGAAAACATGTATATCAACCTGGTCTCTCTGAATCAACCTGGTCTCTCTGAATGAACCTGGTCTCTCTGAAGGAACCTGGTCTCTCTGAAGGAACCTGGTCTCTCTGAATGAACCTGGTCTCTCTGAATGAACCTGGTCTCTCTGAATGAACCTGGTCTCTCTGAATGAACCTGGTCTCTCTGAAGGAACCTGGTCTCTCTGAATGAACCTGGTCTCTCTGAAGGAACCTGGTCTCTCTGAAGGAACCTGGTCTCTCTGAAGGAACCTGGTCTCTCTGAATGAACCTGGTCTCTCTGAAGGAACCTGGTCTCTCTGAATGAACCTGGTCTCTCTGAATGAACCTGGTCTCTCTGAAGGAACCTGGTCTCTCTGAATGAACCTGGTCTCTCTGAATGAACCTGGTCTCTCTGAAGGAACCTGGTCTCTCTGAAGGAACCTGGTGTCAGTTATGAACCTGGTCTTAGTTATGAACCTGGTCTCAGTTATGAACTCTTGAATGAACCTGTTTTCTCTGAATATATTCTATATATAAATATATAATATTGACTCTCTCCTTCCTCCGCAGCTGAGTGGGAACCTGAGGCACATCCGAGTGTTTGAGATGGACGTGGAGGATGAGGATGAGGAAGGAGGAGAGTCTCAGAACGCCAGCGCTGACCAGGAGGTTCTGGAGTCCTCCATGACCAGTGAGGGTCCTGAGGGGAAGGAGGAGGAGGAGGAAGAGGGGGGGGGGAACAAGATGGAGGAGCAGCTGGAGTCAGAGGAAGCCCTGGACATCTCTTAGTACTGACAGAAGATAAGACTGGCTCCGTGACAAGGATGTAGTGTTTGTATGAGAAATAAAAATGTTTGTGTTCACAATTGTTGATATTTCTCCTCTTGTTTTTTTTATAGTACTATTAATTTTACGCAATTGTTAATTTGTTGTCACCTTATATTATCCAGTAACGATGAATTATTTAAAATAATAAAGGTAGAAATAAAAGCCTCATCACCAACAACTGTACAGGTTAATTTGTTAAAAAAAAATATGCAAAGAAATTGGAGAAAAAAAAATTATTTGATTTTCCGAACAAATAATAAAAGCAAAAAATTATAATTTCCCCGAAAAATTGTATATGAAATAATTAATTTGTAAATTAAACTATTACTTTTATTATTAATATGAGGCCTTTATTTTGATTACATTTCTTTATTAATGTGTTCAATTATAGATTATTATTTTACACTTTATTCAAATGTTAATAAGTTATTTTAATTATATTTCTTTATTATTCTGTTGAATTATTGAGTCTTTTTTTTAACATAATGGCAGCATTGATCGTCCACAATATTGACTCAGCACTGTATTCCTGTAGGTTAATAATTGAATTCTAAATACATAGTAACATAAATGAATAATTAATTGTTTGATTAGCTAAATGCTGAGTTAAAAGAAAATCCACTTTAATTCATGTGTAAAAATACAGAAGAGGATTAGGGACACATGAGAACATTTTTGGGATAAGATAAGAAGAGAAGGACTTTATTGATCCCAATGTGGGGAATGTTTGCGTTGCAGCAGCATAACATGACATGGCATTGCACAATAGAGAAATAAAAAGACTTGAAATGAACAATTCAAAATGTAAATGTCTCAAATAGAAAGAAAATAGCATTAAAAAAGTAGAAAATATACATGTTGAAATACAAATGTACAGTAACAAAATATAATTGAAATTGAATACAACCAAAAAATAAAATGTTGGGTTTCAGAATTCAGAAAATAACTACTACTTTATTGTTATTTATGTGTACCTCTACTGTATAAACCCGACTCTGAATCAAAACAATGAAAACCCTGTTGATTTGTACAGTAGACATCCGTGCACGCGAAAATAGGTGTTGGTTACGTGCGCGCCCCCGGCCCTGTGCGCGATGACGCAGCGAGCCGCCGCCTGTTGGTCTTCAGTTGGTGACGAGGAGTGTTGTGAAAATGGCTCCGACCCTGCCCGAAACTCCGAGGAGGAGATGACGGCGCGGAGGAGCTCCTTAAGTCCGGGAAACAACACGGTGTCCTCCCGAAACACGGAGGTAAGGAGAACCAGAGACTAAGAGAGAGGGAGAACCGGTTAAAAGACCACCTCCGTAAAACCGTCGGTAACAGAGAGAACCTTTTCGAGGGAGAACCGGTGAAAACACCCCACCACTCCTTCCCTTTTCCCCCGATATGGAGGACATCAACTCGAACATCAACGCGGACCTGGAGGTGCGGAAGCTCCAGGACCTGGTGAAGAAGCTGGAGCAGCAGAACGAGCAGCTCCGGAGCAGATCGTCCGGTCCCCTGGCCGCCCACAGGCCCCACAGCGCCGGGTACGACCCTCTGTTCCCCGGGGGTCTGCTGGAGAACAGCCGGAGCCCCAGACTCTCCTACGACGGCATCAGCTTCCGGAGGCCCTATGAAGGGGCTTCGGCCGGAGCCTCGGTGTCCGCCAGGAACTCACTATATTCGGATACTTTCCCTGCTGCTGACGAGGGGGAGACGTCGATCCTGGACGAGGTGGAGATCCTGGACCTAGAGGACATGGACTGTCTCCACGAAGACGAGGACAGCTGGTGAGTGACAGGCCGGGTCTGGAGGCTCCCTGCCGGGGAACAGCTGCTCTAAACACCCCTCTCTTCCTCAGGAGTTTCCATGAAGTCATGTTGGTGATCTCTGTGGATCATTACAGACAGGCTTTGCATTATTTCAGGAGTGTCAAAGTACTAAGTATATAACTCAAGTACTATAATTAACAGCTGCTCCAGACAACTCATAATACTCAGCAGAGGTGGGAGAAGTACTCAGGTCTTGTGTAAAAGTAGAAGTACTCAGGTCTTGTGTAAAAGTAGAAGTACTCAGGTCTTGTGTAAAAGTAGAAGTACTCAGGTCTTGAGTAAAAGTAGAAGTACTCAGGTCTTGAGTAAAAGTAGAAGTACTCAGGTCTTGAGTAAAAGTAGAAGTACTCAGATCTTGAGCTTGAGTAAAAGTAGAAGTACTCAGATCTTGTTCTTGAGTAAAAGTAGAAGTACTCAGATCTTGTTCTTGAGTAAAAGTAGAAGTACTCAGATCTTGTACTTGAGTAAAAGTAGAAGTACTCAGTTCTTGTTCTTGAGTAAAAGTAGAAGTACTCAGATCTTGTACTTGAGTAAAAGTAGAAGTACCAGAGTGTAGGAATACTCTGTTACAGTAAAAGTCCTGCATTCAAAATGTTCCTCAAGTGAAAGTAGAAAAGTATTCTCATCAAAATATAGTGAAAGTAGCGACAGTAAAAGTAGTCATTGTGCAGATTGGTCCATTTCAGAATAATATATATGATATGTTTTATAATGATTGATCATGAAAGTGTTCTCAAAGCTGGTAAAGGTGCAGCTAGTTTGAATGACTTTGTATACTGCAGGGTAGCTTGTGGATTTACTCCAGGTGGAACTAAAGTCTGATTTAACACTTGATTATATTTCACATCATTCATCCACATCTGTGAAGTAACTAAAGGTATTAAATACATGTAGTGGAGTAGAAGTACACCATTTACCTCTGAACTGTAGAGGAGTAGAAGTAGCAAAACATTGAAATACTCAATTAAAGTACAAGTAACTTCAAATTGAACTTGAGTAAATGTACTTAGTTACTTCACACCTCAGGTCCTCAGTAGTTTCCATGAGGTCAAGGAGACCCCCACCTTGCCTTCGTGTCTCTTGTTCGGGAAGTAACCTCAAAAAAGTGAACTCAATGACAAGAGAATAGTTTTTCTTATTGGTTCATAAACTCATAAACGTTATAGCTAGCTAGATTTGGGTTTTAACATTCCCCCATTTTACACTTTGATGTATGAACTCCAGCTGTAGCTACCCTTAGTAAAGGACTGCCTGAGGGTCATGTGTTGTTGTTGTGTTGTTATTGTGTAGTAGTGCTGGTGTCAGGAGGTCAGGGTGTTTCTCTGGAGGCTGTTCTCTTGCCTGAGGAGAGGCAGCCATGTTCTTCTTCTTCTCCTCTCCTCTCCTGGCTCTCAGCCTGAAGCTCTGCAGCTCTGAGGATGAAAGGTTGTGGTGGCGTAGGAAGGAATGCTGTCCGCCTGAAACAGCTGATCATCATCTCTGTGTTTACATCATGGAGACAAAGGCTGGAGAGGATGTGAAGTGTGTGTTATCAGCCCTTACTTTGTTATCCTCTCACATAAGTAACTTCCCCATCACTGAGCGTCCTCTTGATCTGATGAGATGTTAGATTGTAAGCCTCAAAACGTCCTGTCTTAAACTGAATACAGGGGTTATCATGTGACCAACGTTTAAAGAGGCCCTACTGTGTTCAAGTTCAGGTGTATATCAGTATGTAGTGTCTCTACTTTAAAGAGTCCTCTCCTGCTGATGCTCAGGTGTATATCAGTATGTAGTGTCTCTACTTTAAAGAGTCCTCTCCTGCTGATGTTCAGGTGTATATCAGTATGTAGTGTCTCTACTTTAAAGAGTCCTCTCCTGCTGATGCTCAGGTGTATATCAGTATGTAGTGTCTCTACTTTAAAGAGTCCTCTCCTGCTGATGTTCAGGTGTATATCAGTATGTAGTGTCTCTACTTTAAAGAGTCCTCTCCTGCTGATGTTCAGGTGTATATCAGTATGTAGTGTCTCTACTTTAAAGAGTCCTCCCCTGCTGATGTTCAGGTGTATATCAGTATGTAGTGTCTCTACTTTAAAGAGTCCTCTCCTGCTGATGTTCAGGTGTATATCAGTATGTAGTGTCTCTACTTTAAAGAGTCCTCCCCTGCTGATGTTCAGGTGTATATCAGTATGTAGTGTCTCTACTTTAAAGAGTCCTCTCCTGCTGATGTTCAGGTGTGTATCAGTATGTAGTGTCTCTACTTTAAAGAGTCCTCTCCTGCTGATGTTCAGGTGTATATCAGTATGTGGTGTCTCTACTTTAAAGAGTCCTCTCCTGCTGATGTTCAGGTGTATATCAGTATGTAGTGTCTCTACTTTAAAGAGTCCTCTCCTGCTGATGATCAGGTGTATATCAGTATGTAGTGTCTCTACTTTAAAGAGTCCTCTCCTGCTGATGTTCAGGTGTATATCAGTATGTAGTGTCTCTACTTTAAAGAGTCCTCTCCTGCTGATGTTCAGGTGTATATCAGTATGTAGTGTCTCTACTTTAAAGAGTCCTCTCCTGCTGATGTTCAGGTGTATATCAGTATGTAGTGTCTCTACTTTAAAGAGTCCTCTCCTGCTGATGTTCAGGTGTATATCAGTATGTAGTGTCTCTACTTTAAAGAGTCCTCTCCTGCTGATGTTCAGGTGTATATCAGTATGTAGTGTCTCTACTTTAAAGAGTCCTCTCCTGCTGATGTTCAGGTGTATATCAGTATGTAGTGTCTCTACTTTAAAGAGTCCTCTCCTGCTGATGTTCAGGTGTATATCAGTATGTAGTGTCTCTACTTTAAAGAGTCCTCCCCTGCTGATGTTCAGGTGTATATCAGTATGTAGTGTCTCTACTTTAAAGAGTCCTCTCCTGCTGATGTTCAGGTGTATATCAGTATGTGGTGTCTCTACTTTAAAGAGTCCTCTCCTGCTGATGTTCAGGTGTATATCAGTATGTAGTGTCTCTACTTTAAAGAGTCCTCTCCTGCTGATGTTCAGGTGTATATCAGTATGTAGTGTCTCTACTTTAAAGAGTCCTCTCCTGCTGATGTTCAGGTGTATATCAGTATGTAGTGTCTCTACTTTAAAGAGTCCTCTCCTGCTGATGTTCAGGTGTATATCAGTATGTAGTGTCTCTACTTTAAAGAGTCCTCTCCTGCTGATGTTCAGGTGTATATCAGTATGTAGTGTCTCTACTTTAAAGAGTCCTCTCCTGCTGATGTTCAGGTGTATATCAGTATGTAGTGTCTCTACTTTAAAGAGTCCTCTCCTGCTGATGTTCAGGTGTATATCAGTATGTAGTGTCTCTACTTTAAAGAGTCCTCTCCTGCTGATGTTCAGGTGTATATCAGTATGTAGTGTCTCTACTTTAAAGAGTCCTCTCCTGCTGATGTTCAGGTGTATATCAGTATGTAGTGTCTCTACTTTAAAGAGTCCTCCCTGCTGATGTTCAGGTGTATATCAGTATGTAGTGTCTCTACTTTAAAGAGTCCTCTCCTGCTGATGTTCAGGTGTATATCAGTATGTGGTGTCTCTACTTTAAAGAGTCCTCTCCTGCTGATGTTCAGGTGTATATCAGTATGTAGTATCTCTACTTTAAAGAGTCCTCTCCTGCTGATGTTCAGGTGTATATCAGTATGTAGTGTCTCTACTTTAAAGAGTCCTCTCCTGCTGATGTTCAGGTGTATATCAGTATGTAGTGTCTCTACTTTAAAGAGTCCTCTCCTGCTGATGTTCAGGTGTATATCAGTATGTAGTGTCTCTACTTTAAAGAGTCCTCTCCTGCTGATGTTCAGGTGTATATCAGTATGTAGTGTCTCTACTTTAAAGAGTCCTCTCCTGCTGATGTTCAGGTGTATATCAGTATGTAGTGTCTCTACTTTAAAGAGTCCTCTCCTGCTGATGTTCAGGTGTATATCAGTATGTATTGTCTCTACTTTAAAGAGTCCTCTCCTGCTGATGTTCAGGTGTGTATCAGTATGTAGTATCTCTACTTTAAAGAGTCCTCTCCTGCTGATGTTCAGGTGTATATCAGTGTGTAGTGTCTCTACTTTAAAGAGTCCTCTCCTGCTGATGTTCAGGTGTATATCAGTGTGTAGTGTCTCTACTTTAAAGAGTCCTCTCCTGCTGATGTTCAGGTGTATATCAGTATGTAGTGTCTCTACTTTAAAGAGTCCTCTCCTGCTGATGTTCAGGTGTATATCAGTGTGTAGTGTCTCTACTTTAAAGAGTTCTCTCCTGCTGATGTTCAGGTGTATATCAGTATGTAGTGTCTCTACTTTAAAGAGTCCTCTCCTGCTGATGTTCAGGTGTATATCAGTATGTAGTGTCTCTACTTTAAAGAGTCCTCTCCTGCTGATGTTCAGGTGTATATCAGTATGTAGTGTCTCTACTTTAAAGAGTCCTCTCCTGCTGATGTTCAGGTGTATATCAGTATGTAGTGTCTCTACTTTAAAGAGTCCTCTCCTGCTGATGTTCAGGTGTATATCAGTATTCAGTGTCTCTACTTTAAAGAGTCCTCTCCTGCTGATGTTCAGGTGTATATCAGTATGTAGTGTCTCTACTTTAAAGAGTCCTCTCCTGCTGATGTTCAGGTGTATATCAGTGTGTAGTGTCTCTACTTTAAAGAGTCCTCTCCTGCTGATGTTCAGGTGTATATCAGTATGTAGTGTCTCTACTTTAAAGAGTCCTCTCCTGCTGATGTTCAGGTGTATATCAGTGTGTAGTGTCTCTACTTTAAAGAGTCCTCTCCTGCTGATGTTCAGGTGTATATCAGTATGTAGTGTCTCTACTTTAAAGAGTCCTCTCCTGCTGATGTTCAGGTGTATATCAGTATGTAGTGTCTCTACTTTAAAGAGTGCTCTCCTGCTGATGTTCAGGTGTATATCAGTATGTAGTGTCTCTACTTTAAAGAGTCCTTTCTGGATGCTGAAGCTGCCTGTTATCTCTTTATGTATCTAATGAGCATCCTTAGGGCGTAGCACCGGATGCTAAAGCTTCTTCCAGAGGTACATCATATCTGACAGTCAGCACTTAGAGACGTCCTCTGTGTGCAGGATTCAGGAGGAGCATTTTGTGGAGGGAGGATTCCTCTGAAAGCTAAAGTGTTGACGTCACTGTCCTCAGAGGGACATCCTGACACACTTTGTGTTCACATCAGACTCTTCCAGATTCTGCTGAGTCATGCAGACTCATCACCTGTCGCTCTGCTCTGAGCACCAGGTGATGAGTCCTGTCACACACTGCTGTTCTCCTGCTGGGGTCACAGTGCTGCACACACACACACACACACACACACACACACACACACACAGACACAGACACAGACACAGACACACACACACACACACACACACACACACATACACACACACTGCGGCTGGGGGACTCCTCTCTGAATGATGCTCATTGTGTTGTGAACAGAGAGACTCTCCTCTCATCATGAACAGACTCCTCTCAGCCGCTCCACAGCATGTCTCTGCACAATGGGCGAGGATAGACGTCCACAGAGGAACAGGAAGTAGTGGCCAGCTCTAGTAGTGTGTTTCTTTATTTCCTAAAATGTGTGTGTTCCTGAATCCCCACAGCGGACTGCAGTGAACCCAGTGACTGTTGTTGGCTCTAAAGAGGGTTCATCTGAACGTTTTCTGCAGCTGACTGTGCACTGTCCTCTGCCACGTGGAGAGAGAGAGAGAGAGAGAGAGTCCACTAGAGCCCTCTAGAGCAGGGCGTCCACACTGTTCTCACTGAGGGCCACATGCAGAGAAACATACCCTCACTAGAGGTGAGGTACATGCCTCATGGGTTCAGTTATCATTCAGCTAAATCAATCACATGTAGTTCAATGATGCTTTCTACTTGAATATGATTTAAGAAACATCCCAGACACAGGTACTCTTTAAACAGCTGGTAGTTATGGGTACTTTTTACTTAAGTACATTTCAAAGCCCATACTTCTTTACTTTGACTTGAGTAAAGAAGTTTAGTCGGTACTTTTAAACACGAGTATCTGTACTTCTACTTGAGTAAAGGATGTGTGTACCCCTGTGTGTTCAGGCTGTACGAGGCGAAGCTGGACAGCCCCCTGCAGAAGGCTCTGAGCCCCATGGTGTGGTGCAGACAGACTCTGGACAACCCCAGCCCGGAGATGGAGTCGGCCAAACGCTCTCTGCTGCACCGCCTGGACCTCACCATGTCAGGTACGCTGCTCTGATACACACAGTCACTGGACCTCACCGTGTCAGGTACGCTGCTCTGATACACACAGTCACTGGACCTCACCGTGTCAGGTACGCTGCTCCACTACACACAGTCACTGGACCTCACCATGTCAGGTACGCTGCTCCGCTACACACAGTCACTGGACCTCACCATGTCAGGTACGCTGCTCCACTACACACAGTCACTGGACCTCACCATGTCAGGTACGCTGCTCTGATACACACAGTCACTGGACCTCACCATGTCAGGTACGCTGCTCCGCTACACACAGTCACTGGACCTCACCATCTCAGGTACGCTGCTCCGCTACACACAGTCACTGGACCTCACCATCTCAGGTACGCTGCTCCGCTACACACAGTCACTGGACCTCACCATGTCAGGTACGCTGCTCCGCTACACACAGCCACTGGACCTCACCATCTCAGGTACGCTGCTCCGCTACACACAGCCACTGGACCTCACCATGTCAGGTACGCTGCTCCGCTACACACAGTCACTGGACCTCACCATGTCAGGTACGCTGCTCCGCTACACACAGCCACTGGACCTCACCATCTCAGGTACGCTGCTCCGCTACACACAGCCACTGGACCTCACCATCTCAGGTACGCTGCTCCGCTACACACAGCCACTGGACCTCACCATGTCAGGTACGCTGCTCCGCTACACACAGTCACTGGACCCTCACCATGTCAGGTACGCTGCTCCGCTACACACAGCCACTGGACCTCACCATCTCAGGTACGCTGCTCCGCTACACACAGCCACTGGACCTCACCATCTCAGGTACGCTGCTCCGCTACACACAGCCACTGGACCTCACCATGTCAGGTACGCTGCTCTGATACACACAGTCACTGGACCTCACCATGTCAGGTACGCTGCTCTGATACACACAGTCACTGGACCTCACCATGTCAGGTACGCTGCTCTGATACACACAGTCACTGGACCTCACCATGTCAGGTACGCTGCTCTGATACACACAGTCACTGGACCTCACCATGTCAGGTACGCTGCTCTGATACACACAGTCACTGGACCTCACCATGTCAGGTACGCTGCTCTGATACACACAGTCACTGGACCTCACCATGTCAGGTACGCTGCTCCGATACACACAGTCACTGGACCTCACCATGTCAGGTACGCTGCTCCACTACACACAGTCACTGGACCTCACCATGTCAGGTACGCTGCTCCGTTACACACAGTCACTGGACCTCACCATGTCAGGTACGCTGCTCCACTACACACAGTCACTGGACCTCACCATGTCAGGTACGCTGCTCCGATACACACAGTCACTGGACCTCACCATGTCAGGTACGCTGCTCCGCTACACACAGTCACTGGACCTCACCATGTCAGGTACGCTGCTCTGATACACACAGTCACTGGACCTCACCATGTCAGGTACGCTGCTCTGATACACACAGTCACTGGACCTCACCATGTCAGGTACGCTGCTCTGATACACACAGTCACTGGACCTCACCATGTCAGGTACGCTGCTCTGATACACACAGTCACTGGACCTCACCATGTCAGGTACGCTGCTCTGATACACACAGTCACTGGACCTCACCATGTCAGGTACGCTGCTCCGATACACACAGTCACTGGACCTCACCATGTCAGGTACGCTGCTCCACTACACACAGTCACTGGACCTCACCATGTCAGGTACGCTGCTCCACTACACACAGTCACTGGACCTCACCATGTCAGGTACGCTGCTCCGATACACACAGTCACTGGACCTCACCATGTCAGGTACGCTGCTCCACTACACACAGTCACTGGACCTCACCATGTCAGGTACGCTGCTCTGATACACACAGTCACTGGACCTCACCATGTCAGGTACGCTGCTCTGATACACACAGTCACTGGACCTCACCATGTCAGGTACGCTGCTCTGATACACACAGTCACTGGACCTCACCATGTCAGGTACGCTGCTCTGATACACACAGTCACTGGACCTCACCATGTCAGGTACGCTGCTCCGATACACACAGTCACTGGACCTCACCATGTCAGGTACGCTGCTCCGATACACACAGTCACTGGACCTCACCATGTCAGGTACGCTGCTCCACTACACACAGTCACTGGACCTCACCATGTCGGGTAACAAACGCTGATCCCTTACACCAAATAACTGGAAGTCGTATAGCCGCAGTGTGTTCTCAAGGTTCAAGGCTTTTATCATCATGTGCTCGTAGCTGCAGTGTAGATATATCAATGACAATCTGAGGTCACAGGCTCCTCCAACAGAGCAACATATTATATAAAGGACATAAGACAAAATAAAAATAGTGCAAAATGAAACACAGTAGGACTGTATGGACATGTGTTTTATTCCACATATTGCAGTTCTAGTGTCAAAAGAAGCCCCCGTCCAACAACAAGACACCACTGCTCCCAGTTTACTACATGTTCACTAGATTCAAGGCTTTTATTGTCATCAACACATTAGCTACATCACTGTACTGCAGCAGCACTGTGACCCCAGCAGGAGAACAGCAGTGTGTGACAGGAGCCATCACCTGGTGCTCAGAGCAGAGCACCAGGTGATGAGTCTGCATGACTCATCACCTGGTGCTCAGAGCAGAGCGACAGGTGATGAGTCTGCATGACTCATCACCTGGTGCTCAGAGCAGAGCGACAGGTGATGAGTCTGCATGACTCAGCAGAATCTGGAAGAGTCTGAGTCAGGCTGCGCACTGAGACCCTCTGAGGACAGTGAACGCTCCCGTGTGTTCAGCTCCATTCTTATAGAAAGCTTCAACATGACGAAACAGAGAGTCAGAGAATGTAGAAAGGTTTTGTAGATGAAAGTAAACGGAGTGCCACATTTAACAACATGGAAACTAGGTCGCATGCATTTTGCATTCAATTGATTTACAGGTTAAATATGACAACAGAAAAAGCATCAAAATAAAGTTGTTTCTTGGCGGTTTTGAGTAAATGTTGCCGATGTGCGATGTGCCTGCTGCACACAGGAAGAGGAGAAGCGGCACACACACATTGTTTTTAAGATCTGACCAAAAGTGAGTTTGATAAAAAAAATCAGTATTTCTGAAAAGTTCTGAAAGAATACAGAATTCAGAAAAAGTGTTATCTTCCAAACAGGAAGTGTGATGCTGTGTCTGAGGTTGCACTCTTTTGTTCCTACTCTTTGTAGAGCTTTAGTGCGTCCTAATGTGAAGTATAGCTCAACCCACTCTGCAGGGTGCTCTCGTCACCGTCAGGAACTCTGAGAGGAAAGTAACTCCAGAATCTTTTATTATTTTGGTCAGATCTAAAATAAATGCACATGTGACCCTCACCCTCTTCCTCCTGAATCCCCTTCCCCTCAAACAGACCTCAGGGACCCTCTCCTCTCCTCTCTCTCTCTCTCTCTCTCTGTCTCTAATTATAAACGACCCTCGGCTAAACTGAGCCGCCAGTTTCACCCCGGCATGTCCATGTGACACCTGCACACACACAGACACAGACACACACAGACACACACACACACAGACACAGACACACACAGACACAGACACAGACACACACAGACACAGACACAGACACACACAGACACACACACACACACACACACACACAGACACAGACACACACACAGATACTGAGCTTTGACAATCACCCTGGGATGATACCTTTATTTAAATCAGGATTGCAGCAATGCGACTTTTATCAAAACTCACACAGAACTATTTCTCTCTTTCTTATCCTTGTATTATGGAGGGCTAAAGCTGCCCTTGTGTCAAAGAAAAATGACTGAAGTAATAATAATTAAAATAATGTGTCTTAGAATATTTGGGAAGAAAATAAAACCATAAATGAATACACAAAGTTCTTTATTCGGCTGATGACTCAATCTCCTCTGTTTGTTCTCAGTGATCTCATCAGGTGCTGCAGGATCACGTCACCCTCTCAAATACCCCCCCCCACACACACACACACACACACACACACACACCCTGATACCGAACACCCTCATGGTGCAACACTTCCACAACAACTAGTATTCTCTGTCTGGTGAATCAATGAGCTTCAGACCAGAGGAGCTCTCTCTCACTTTGTGTTGGTCATTCGTAGCAGAACCATTTCTTTGAGTTGTTAGCTCTCTGATGTCCCAGACAACGGGCCGAGGCTCCTGCTGAGGATTATGGGATGGATGAAGTTCAGTGTGTGAGTCACACCTCCCTGAGGTTATATAAGTGATCAGAGTCAAACAGGGAGTGCCCACACAAAGGCTGGGTCACTCTAACACACCATGACAGGAGTGTGTGTGTGTGTGTGTGTCTGAAGCTCTCTGGTTGTTTCCATGCTCCTGCTTCGACAGCTGACCTCCTATTTAACCTCACGTTCTTCCTCCTCTCTCTCCTCCTCCTCCTCCTCCTCCTCCTCTCTCCATGTGTAACCCTCCTCTCTCTCCTCCTCTCTCTCTCTCCTCCTCCTCCTCTCTCCATGTGTAACCCTCCTCTCTTTGTGCTTCTTGTCCACAGAAGCCTCTCTGTTGTCTCTCCTCTTGTGACGCTCTCTCTGAACACGATCGTTTCCTTTGTAGTTGTATATGAAGCAAAGCTCGATGTGTTTAGAGAGCACAGTTCGTACCTCAGGAACCCTGACTCTGATATCCTTTCATATCTCACACATCTCTTCTCTCTCCTGACTTCTTGTTTGAGGACAGTTTGTTTCTGTCCCTTTGGACCTGTGTGTCTCTGGTGACGTTGAGCTGCTGCTGTTATCTAATGACCTCTGACACACAGAAGCACGTGCAGAGTGTTTATGTACCAACACACTAAGATGTGTTTACAGATGGCAGAGAGCAGGAGGAGCAGCAGATCCTAGAAAGATGCTTCTAGTCAGCTGAGTAAACACCAGAGAGGAACATTAACCATTACACCTCTGAGACAGTGATACCATACGATATACTTTATTGTCCCCGTAAGGACATTTGTTCTGGACTGCAGTTCCACATACATGTACATATACAAACATAGTAAACATTCAAATACATTCACATATCATCAGTCATACACCGTTTGAACAAACACAGACGCACATACTGACAATGGCGACCTATTGCACAACAACCCTCATGGCCAACATTTAACAAGTGCATTTCATTACATGTGAATGTTAAGAAGCTCAATGAACATAGGTAGGAATGAGAGCTTATAGCGGTTCTGCTCTTGGGAACCCTGGATCTTCCACCAGAAGGTAGCAGCTGGAGTTCTGGGTGGAGTGTGTGGGGGGGATCAGACACCATGTGTTGTGCCTCTCTGATCATGGACTGCTCATATATGTTTGAGAGATGGGTGTTTTTTAACCCCCATCATTTTCATAGCAGTCTGTACCAGGCGAGCGATCTGTGACTAAACAGCTGATCACAACATTCACACGCTCTGTGGTCACGAAGCTCTGTACTCCACTACCAAACCCCCCCCCCCCCCCCCCCCCGTTGACATTCGCGATACAGAGGGCTTCATGGGAACTTTGAGGGGAGCCAGAAGTTGGAGTACCAAACACTGACTCCAGGTACTCATCTGAGTACCTCACTGAGGAAGTTGTGTGCACCCCTGGCTATAACATTAGTTAATGTAATGCTTCTACTTTATCTTGCGTAACATCAGGGAGGCAGGACGCTCAGTGTATCTGTTCCCGCTTCATAAAGAGCTGCTGGTTCATTGTTCAGTGTGTGAGAGTCTGATCTCATGACGGAGAGTCTGATCTCACACACTGTGTTATTGTTCTGTTCTCAATGCTGACGATTCTTAGTGATGCTGTTTGACTCTGAATCAGACCCACGCTCTGCTGCTTTAACAGACTGAACACACACTGAACACACACTGAACACACACTGAACGCACACTGAACGCACACTGAACGCACACTGAGCGCACACTGAGCGCACACTGAACGCACACTGAACGCACACTGAGCGCACACTGACCGCCCACTGAGCGCACACTGAACGCACACTGAGCGCACACTGAGCGCACACTGAGCGCACACTGAACGCACACTGAGCGCACACTGAACGCACACTGAGCGCACACTGAACGCACACTGAACGCTCACTGAACGCACACTGAACGCACACTGAACGCACACTGAACGCACACTGAACGCACACTGAACGCACACTGAGCGCACACTGAGCGCCCACTGAGCGCTCACTGAACGCACACTGAACGCACACTGAGCGCCCACTGAGCGCACACTGAACGCACACTGAACGCACACTGAACGCACACTGAACGCACACTGAGCGCACACTGAACGCACACTGAACGCACACTGAACGCACACTGAGCGCACACTGAACGCACACTGAACGCACACTGAACGCACACTGAACGCACACTGAGCGCACACTGAGCGCACACTGAGCGCACACTGAGCGCCCACTGAGCGCCCACTGAACGCACACTGAGCGCACACTGAGCGCACACTGAGCGCACACTGAACGCACACTGAACGCACACTGAGCGCCCACTGAGCGCACACTGAACGCACACTGAACGCACACTGAGCGCACACTGAACGCACACTGAACGCACACTGAGCGCACACTGAGCGCACACTGAGCGCACACTGAGCGCACACTGAACGCACACTGAGCGCACACTGAACGCACACTGAGCGCACACTGAACGCACACTGAACGCACACTGAACACACACTGAGCGCACACTGAACGCACACTGAACACTCTCCTGATGTTGTCTCTCTCTCCTGATGTTGTCTCTCTCTCCAGATGTTGTCTCTCTCCTGATGTTGTCTCTCTCTCCTGATTGTCTCTCTCTCTCCTGATGTTCTCTCTCTCTCCAGATGTTGTCTCTCTCCTGATGTTGTCTCTCTCTCCTGATGTTCTCTCTCTCTCCTGATGTTGTCTCTCTCTCCTGATGTTGTCTCTCTCCTGATGTTGTCTCTCTCTCTCCTGATGTTGTCTCTCTCTCTCCTGGTGTTGTCTCTCTCCTGATGTTGTCTCTCTCTCCTGATGTTGTCTCTCTCTCCTGATGTTGTCTCTCTCTCTCCTGATGTTGTCTCTCTCTCCTGATGTTGTCTCTCTCTCCTGATGTTGTCTCTCTCTCTCCTGATGTTGTCTCTCTCTCCTGATGTTGTCTCTCTCTCCTGATGTTGTCTCTCTCTCCTGATGTTGTCTCTCTCTCTCCTGATGTTGTCTCTCTCTCCTGATGTTGTCTCTCTCTCCTGATGTTGTCTCTCTCTCCTGATGTGGTCTCTCTCTGACTCCCTCCTGTTGTCCTGTGTCTCTGTAGCTAACAGGCAGCGCTCCCTGTACAGCAGCCCGGTGCACCAGCAGAGCTACAGCAGCCCCTACAGCAGTGGCTTCAGCTCCCCCTCCTCCACGCCCAGCAGGGGGCACCTCAGCCGGCAGCAGCTCCTGCCCGGCAACGCAGGTACCTGTCTGCACATCACTGAGGTTCCAAACCTCACACATACCCACTCCCCCTCCGTCTGTAGTCTCACTCTCAGCTGAACGAGGCTCCTCCTCTCAGACGGAGGGTGTAAAAACAGCAGCAGCTTTGGGACCAACTCTCCTCTCTCCGGCTGAAACAGGAAATGACAGAACTTTTCATAACAACGGTTTCAAATCAGCATCTCTTGGATTCAAAATAACTAATATAATACTCCGAAAATCTGCTGCTTAGTTTTTGCAACGGTCTGTGAATAAACACAACTCTTACCGTTTTCTAGACCAAACAGGAGCGTACGATCCTGAGTTAATAACAATACGAGGTAACCATGAAGTTGTTAACATCTGTATGACGATACTAAATGTCTCTTGTCGTGCTGTTTATCAGTTAATGTTGGAGGGCTTGATAAGCCACTCCCCCTCCACACTCGTTGGTTTGGAACAGCACTTACTGTGGCGGACCCTCCACGTGAACGTGCAAACGGAGAGGTAGTGTGTAGGGGGCGGTTTGGAATTGGGCCTGAGAAACAGCCAGAGGTCACATGACCCTGAAGGCACCTGCTGTACGGTCCTCTCTGATCCATCATTGTTATAATAACATAATGCAGAATCAATAAATAGCGTCAGCATTAGACTGGACCTGTTGTGTGACACACTCGGCACACTGCTGCTGTTCAGTTCACTATGTTCTGCTACCTTTTGATCTGCTCCGACTTTCTACAAGCATTCCCACCGCACTGTATTCAGGAATTGCATTCTCTAGATTCAAAGGTGTTATCATCATGTGCTCAGCAGCTTCAGTGCAGAAATGGCAATGACATTCTCCTGACCTGAGCTCCTCCCACAATGCAACATATTTAATAAAATACAAAATAAAAAAGTAGTGCAAAAAGTCTATAAACATGTCATTAGAATATGATATGTTCCAGAACAGAAGCTTCTCTGTTTGCCCAATTTAAAACAGATAACTCCAAGATGTCTGTAGGAGGTTGTTGTTGTTGTTGTTGTTGTTGTTTAATGTCTCTAACTGTCCCGTGTCCTGCAGCCCACCAGAGGAACACGGCAGCAGAAGCAGCAGCAGCAGCAGTGGTGGTGGAGGAGAGGAACCCCCCCCCCCTCAGCCCCCAGTCCTCAGTGGACAGCGAGCTGAGCACCTCGGAGATGGATGAGGACTCGGTGGGCTCGTCCAACACGTACAAGCTGAACGACGTGACGGACGTGCAGATCCTGGCCCGCATGCAGGAGGAGAGTGAGTACAGGACACAGGGCGCTGGGGGTCACGTGTTCAAAGAGATCCAGTTGCTTTGGTGACAGCTGGGGTTAACCTGACGGGCTACCCAGGCCCAGCACATGCTGTTAGACAAAGCCCCCTTTTTACCAGCTAGAACAAAACAAAAAAAAGTGTGTGTCTGTCTCTCTCTCTCTCTCTCTGTGTCTCTCTCTCTCTCTCTCTCTCTCTCTCTCTCTCTCTCTCTCTCTCTCTCTCTCTCTCTCCTCTCTTCTCTCCTCCTCTCT